GATAGAGTATAAGCATTAAACATTTACTTTTTCAGCTTTTGATCCCCAAGTCAAACATTCCTAAATCACTCTTTTTTTTTTTTTGGGTTACAATTGGCAAGCCTAAGCTTGAAGGTCAAAACATACAGCAGAAGAGCTCAACCATGAGGAGAGGAAACTCCTCTACGTTGATTCCTACGAACTAAACGTCTTTGGTACTCTCTAACCAAAGCGACACAATCCCTAGGAGCAAATGGCACCAGAGTTATCTCAAAAGCTTGACCATGCCCTTGTTTAGCCATAAAATCTGCACACTTGATGAAGTCCCTGGAAGTGTAACACAAAGTCACATTCAACTTGGAAAATAGATAATGTCTAGTCTTGAGAATCAGCTCGCATAGAGGATGGTCTGGACTACTTTCTCTCATTAGAAAATTAAAAGCATTAATAGAATCAGTAAAGATCAGCACCTTTCTACAAGCAAACTGCTCCAACACCTCAAGTCCTACTTTGATAGCAGAAATTTCAGCCTCTGTGACTGAAGTTAGTCCAAGATTTCTATGGAAACCTCCTAAATCACTCTTTGATTTCAAACTCTGGTGATGTCAAATTTCATTATTTTTTCATTAAAATATATTTTAGATTGGTTTATCACCAGAAACAGACGATTCTGTTCTGTAATAAGTCGGTTGATTTTGGGAATATATCAAGCGAAGAGCTAATGTTCTTAGAACGTTCCCTGCAGTTATTGAAAGAACTTACTGATAGATACATAACCTTGTGATCCCCCCAAACTCAATTAAGTCTTACGTGAAGCAGAACCTTACCATGAAGTCATATTGGTCTTCTAATTTGGAATTTGGACAATAGTCATGATAATTTCTCAAGTTTTTGCTATTAGGTTAATAAACTACCTGTGGACCTATTTTTTTTTTTTTTTTAACTATCTTTTGTTTCTTATGAATAGGCCTAGAGGTAGTATTGAAAAATCAACAGTGTGATGTTGAAAAGTAAAAAATCTCCCATTGTCAAGTTTTTATAGAAAAAAATTTGATGCCAAACAGTTGAAAATTTTAAGTTATTTTCTTTTTTTGACAGAAAGGCATAATGAAACTAAACCTTTTCACTTAAAACATCTTGTATTGCGTTGGCATCAACAATAATGAGGGAGACAGCTTGGTAGGTTGTTGAAGAACCTGCCCCCTGGGTGTCAAAGAAACCAACTTATTGTCGAAGACTGATTTCAGGTATTCCATTCTCATTCTTGAAGTCTGTCTCTTTGCAGTTCTTGTCCGACATATTCCTTCTGCAGTAGGCTATATCAAATGGACCGAAGCAAGAAAAGTGGTTAGGTTTAATATTTTGCTAACATTAGCCAAGCTATATAACCTGAAAAGCTTATGTTTAAAGAGAAAATTAGCCTACCAACAAAAGCTGAAAGTCCAGATCCAATTGCAGCGTAGAAAAGTATACTGAAAACACAAAAGCGAGTAGCAATCTCAAAAGCTGCTATTGCAATGAGTGATCATATTCATTGATCATGCTTTGTGTACAACACTATGCGCTAATGTATATAGCAGAATAAGTACTAGAGCTGATTTATGGAAGAAGCTAACCTTGTTTATATCTTGCTTTGTCAAAACGTTATTGGAGTCTCCATAGGCATTAATTTCGCTGCTAAGAATGAACATCATGGGAGGCATTTGTATCCCATCTCCGAAAATTCCTAGAGTACCAAACAGCATCAGCGACTCGTCCACCGTATCTGCGTATCGAAACATGCTTTTCTTTCCCACTATTTTCTTACCGTCTTCACAAAACCTTCTCTATATAAAGATTTATATACGCTCACTTAGATTTTCTTATATCATCACAGTATCAACAGGAAACACATTTATAATATAGAACCCTTGTCTTTTTGTCAGAGGGTGTGATTTGGCTTGGCATTTTTGAATTTAGCTGGTGTCTTTTGTATACCCTTTCTATTTCTCAATATATTACTTCCACGTCTTTCATTGGCCAGACTTGCACATTATTCCATTAATTTATTGCTTTTTTTTTGTTAAAAAAAAAGTTTATGTGAGTTGTATTCACAAAATTTACTAAGATTAGGAAATGCTTTTGAATTTAAAGAGTATTTAGGATTTTATAGATTGTTAGTAGGATTTGCAAACTTGTGAGTTATGGGTTTATCTTCTTGTGATTCTTGATACCTGCGAAGAATTATTTCCCAATTGCTTTTAGTGTCGTTGAGAGCAATGAGTGGCCAATAAAATCTAGTTTCCATTTGAAAATGGCTTCAAGGCTTGTTTATTGAGAGTGCCTTTCTTCCCTTGCATTGTCACCTAGCGGTGGGGCCTGATTGTATTCTGCTTCTAATTGATGTCTATCAATGTTGATAAGGATGCGCACATTGGCATTCTGACGATGTCAATTTTCATATAATATTAAAAAAAAATTAAAAATCATAACAAATCCTACAACCGCCTCAAGTCCTAAAGATAGTAGCTAATTGAGGAGTTTTTTAATCTTCAATGTAAGATTTCAATCCGCTTGGTTTCTCAAATTTATAATTTGTCGTATGAAAACCTACACACATCTTTTATAAATAATTAATTTTATTAATCTATATAAATTGGTTATTTGACTCTTCTGATTTAAAACCGGAGAGAGTATTTATGGCTAATGAACAGTGAGGGCTTATTTTTCACTTTTCAGTGACAACGCCAGGACCTAATTAGTTGATTTATTTAACAACAATTGATGTAAATGTAAAATGTCAATTTCGCGTGCAGGCGGCTTACAAAAATCTATAGTTTTTGCCGTTTGTTTATGGAAGTATTCATCCAACAAGTAGTGTTACTCTTTTTTTTTTTTTTTCCAGTATCCTCCTATTAAAGATAATAAAAGATAATAAATTTGAGTATACAGTAAGAATTTAAACTTTACTTTACTATATCGTGAGAACTAATCATTTTTACTAAATCTATTATTCATTTGGTTTTCAATTCAGTTTATTAAAAAGACTCTTGAAATAAATTTTGGATGTAGATGTTGTTTGGTTTTTAATTTTTTTCACAAAGTCCATTTAAAAAGTTGTTACCAAATGTGATTGAATGTACTTTTAGCCATGCATTTGGATTTTTTACTTTCCACTTGTCAAAAGTCCTTTTCAACTTTTTAAATGTCAAATGTTATTTGGATAATTATAATATGTGTAAATTGACATTACAAAAGGACTTTGGTAATTGACTTGGAAGTAGATTTTGGAGCATGTAATTTAAAATTTTTCAAAAGTCCTTCTAACTTATTTATAAGACTTTGGTCTTATTTATAAAATAGATAGTATTTATTTTGGTTATATTTATATGGCATTTTAATAATTATTAATTTATTATATCCATCTTTACCCTTTTATCTTATTAAATGTTGAGAAAGTTATTAAACAATAGGATATTTTATTTTTTAAAATATGAATATTTAATAGAGGTAAAATTAAAAATTTGTTAAATGCATTTATTCTATCACAATTTTATAAACATTTTAATATATTACATCTATATAACAAAAATTATAAATTATGATAAATCAATGTTCTTTTTGATATTATATATAAAAAAGTACATTTCTCTATTAAAATTCAAATAACTTTTAATCTATTAAACTGACTTTTAAAAAAATATATTCGAATATAAATTTATTATAACAACCAACTTTCACTAAACTAACTTTTCCATTTAAAAAAATGTGTCCAAATATAAATTTATTACAATAACTAACTTTACTAAAATAACTTTAAATAAATAAACTTTCACTAAATGAACTTTGACAAACTAAAATCAAACATGCATTTGAAATAATGAGCTTTTGAAAAGTGAGTTTAAAAAGTGAGATATTATTTAACTATATTATTTTAAGTTTAATCTTGATTTTTTTATTTAAAAAATAGTTAATTCATGAAAAAAATATATTTATTATTTAAATAATAATAATTAGATATTAATTTTTTAACATTATAAATTGAATAATTAATGATGTTAATTTTTAACATTAAAATATAATAAAAATTAAAAATATTTATCACATTTTTTAAAATTAAATTAAAAAGTATAAATAATTAGAGATTAAGTTTTTAGCAATACAGATCAATTTTATGTCATTTAAAATCTTTATCACATCTTATAAACATTTCAAATATATTATACTTGTATAACAAAAATTATAAATCATTATAAATTAATATTTTTTGGTAATTATACATTCAAAAGCACATAATTTAAATAACTTTTAGTTTATCAAATTGACTTTTAAAAAAATATATTCAAACATAAATTTTATTATAACAACTGACTTTCATTAAATTAATTTTTGTCATATGAACTTTTTGTAAATGAACTTTTGGCCAAAAAACCAAATGCATCTAATCTCCATGATTTGTCAGTGTTTTTGCACTAGAAATATTTACCAAACAGGTGAGTTATTCTAGCCCTTTAGCATACTGCAAGTAACATCTACCAATAAAAATTATCACCAATGGGCTAGCTTATGTATAAGTTACAGGCAGGAGATTGGAGGAAAACGTGGAAAAGTATGGTAAGATACAGATAGAGGTCAAGAGTTATATTTGTTTTTGTTTTTGTTTTTTTTTTTTTTTGGATACGTTTTGAAACTGTTTAAGAATTATATGAGATTTTGAAAGGATTTGGTTCGGTGCTTGTATTTTCTTTTTTCCTGTTTTGAGGACGCCTTTTGGCTGGCTGGAAGCATCTTTTTCTCCCTTGCAATGAGATGCATTTTCTGACATGCTTGGCGTTCTAGCCAAAAGCTTCAAACAGGTTATCAAATGTATTCAAAACGTTGTTTGTTTAAGCTTTTTGGCCGCTTGTTTATGGAAGTGTCTCTAGGCAATTTCTATTGAGTCAGATCTAGGATTCAAATATTAATCTATCAACTAAGTGGCAGTTCTCATATGGTGGTCGAGGAACTGAAACCTCATGATTTGTGATGCAAGATTACAGAGAGGCACTAGAAATTGCTTTTCCATTTTCATCATGCAATCAATACAAGACCTATTTATACGTCAAAGGTCCTACTACTTCACACACCACAATCCTCAAACAAGCCACTTCTCTCACAATACATAACTACAACTTTGACACTTCTCTAAACTCATATTTGGGTACAAAGGGATCACCCAAATCTAGGAAATATATGTTGTTATTCCTGATTAACCTGTTACGATCTTGTCTCTAAAATTCAAAAGTGAAAAAGGGAAAAGCCTATCTTATGTTGCAGCTTCTTTTGATTTACCTTCAAAAAGATCTACCGTTTTGAAGTTTAACAAGAGAGTAGTATGCTCCATCTTGCCCTAGAGAAATGAGTTCATTATGTGAACCTTGTTCCACAACTTTCCCATCCTTAATCACAGCAATGGAGTTTGATTTCTGTATAGTAGATAGCCTGTGAGCCACAATTATGCATGTTCTGCCAACCATCATCTTCTCTAGTGCTTCTTGAACCAAGTTCTCTGACACACTATCAAGTGCACTGGTAGCCTCATCTAGCAGCAAAATTGCAGGATTCTTCAACATTGCACGTGCTATGGCTATCCTTTGTTTTTGGCCTCCTGACAGTTGAACCCCTCTTTCTCCACAATGAGTGTCGTACCCATCGTTCATGCCACTGACAAGAAAATAACCACTAGATAAGAAACAAAGGCTAAGATTTAGGCTAGGAGAAAAAACAACTAAAACTTAATTGGAATTGATCATATGCAGTACTACATGAAGCCTAGAAAGAGGTGAGGCCTTGATAGCACCCACCTAAGTCAGCTCACTAACTCTCTTGGTTTCCCTTTTACGAGAAATGCAGTAGAAGTGGGAATTTTCTCTCTTGATGCTTCATTAAAATTTGGAAAACAAGCCCTTTTTCCCATGAAATATCAAATAAGAGGAGAATTTTTTTCCTATTGTAGTTCTCATACCTTATAAATTCATGGGCATTAGCTAGAGTTGCAGCCTTCTTTATCTCAGCTTCAGTTGCCTTTTCTTTCCCGTAGGCAATGTTTTCTCTAATGGTTCCAGCAAAAAGGGTTGGCTCCTGACTTACAAGGGCAATACGTGACCTTAGAACTCTCAAGTTGTAGGACTTAATGTCTTGTTCGTCTATGCACACTGTTCCCTTCAATGGTTCGTAAAACCTTTCAATGAGGCCAATAACGGTTGATTTACCGGAACCACTTTGTCCCACTAGTGCTAGTGTTCTCCCTGCCTCAACTTTAAGACACAGACCCTTGAAAATCATCTGCTCAGGTCTGGTTGGATATGCAAAGAAAACACTTTTAAGTTCCACTCGACCTCTTAATTTCTTATTTATGTCTACTGCCCGTGTGGTCTCAGGATCAATGTCGCTTCTTCTGTCCAAGATTCTAAACACTGATCGAACTGCATTGCTTCCTTTAGATAAGTCAGAAGTCATGCTTCCTGCTTCTGCAATGATATATGCGGTGAAGAGCAAGATGAAAAATGCTTGGAAAAGATGCTTTGGTTCTATGAGCCCCTCAATCAAAAGCCTCCCGCCATACCAGTAAGCTAAAGCTGCTGCAGTAGTGGTGAAAAATTGTGAGCTAAAAAGACCAAAGCCCGAAATCCATGATTGCCTAACGCTCTCCTTTTGAGGACCTACCAATGTAGATTCGAAAAGGGCCAAAATCCTTTTCTGAGAACTGAAGGCTGTTATGGTTCTATGGTTTATTACAGCTTCACTTGCAAGTTGGCTTCCTTCCTTTTGAGCTTTTCGGGCTTTTTCTGCCATAGACTTCATCAAGACACTTCTTGAATAAAAGCTCCCAACGACTAATGGCTGTACAGCAATCATCACGAGGGATAATCTCCATGTAAGCACCAATGCAAGACCATAAGCGAAGATAGATCCAAAAATTGCTTGAGACAGTAATGACAAACGATCTCCAACAAGGGAGCGAACCATGCTAGCTTCAGAGGCTAATCTTGCACAAATGGCTGCACTTGTGTTCTCTTCATCATCAAACCACCCAATCTCAAAAGTCAACAATTTTCCAAGCAATCTTTCTCGTATTCTTTTAGTCAGTCTTTCTCCCATAACTGCAAAATTGTAGTGTTGAATAATACTTGTAATGAAGTTAAAAACGCCAATTCCCAGGAAAGTAAGTGCCAAGACTCTAGTTTTGAACTTTATTTTTGAGGTTTCAGTGTCAAAGTAGACAGAGATAAGTGTTCCCACAAAAAATGCATTTACTGGCTGGACAGCTCCTGAGCCTATTGCACCCAAGCATCCAAACACTACTCTTCCCCACTCAGGTGCATTCATCTTTAGCAAACGCCACTGCGAAGGAGCTGGATAAGTTGATCTTTTGAAGCTATCTTCATAACTATCATCATTAGGATCACATTGGATTGAGTAGGAATAAGGTGTCCCCATGGAAAATGGCTGACTAAATGGAAATAAAACTGGAGTGCTTGGTGTGTTTGATCTGATACTTGCTGGGCCCGGTGAAATGCTTATCTTGTGGTGGGGATTCCTTTCCTCTGTCTGAAGATTGGGATTCCTGAAATCTTCATCGTGTGTGGTCACTTGCTGCAACTTCACCATCCTTGCATATTCCCCACCTTGTCCATCATTCATTTCCATGAGCTCATTATGGGTACCTGATTCTATCAGTCTCCCTGCTTGAAGAACTGCAATAATGTGAGCAGATTGTATTGTAGTCAGACGGTGAGCAATAATGATTGCAGTCCTTCCTTTTGAAGCTTGATCAATTGCTGCTTGCACCACTCTTTCAGATTGTGCGTCTAGTGCACTGGTAGCTTCGTCAAGCAGCAGAACCTTTGGATCCCTGAGTAAAGCTCTTGCTATGGCAATTCGTTGCTTTTGCCCACCAGACAATTGAAATCCGAGCTGCCCAACCTGGAAAAAAAAAGGCATATAGGTTCATTACTGAAGGATTTAGTTAAAGCAAATTAAAACCAGATTTGTATTGGCAAAAAAAAGCTGGATTCCGTATACGAAAAAATGACTTTCTCCTTTTAATAAAGGACAACTGAGAAAAGATGGATGTTAAGAAAAACTATTTTTGTTGTCTCTGCATTCTTCAATAGAGTATAATTTAATGAAAACAAGACTAGACAATATTCACAATAATGTGTATTATAGGACAGTATATTGTCTGCTAAGAAAAACATGATGATTGTTAACTGATATATTAGCCATCTCAGTAGCATTTCTTGCCTTTGCATACGAAAAAGCATTAGAAACGTTTATGTTAAAAACGTCAAAAAGAAGCATAGTGATACCTTCAAATATAAACTCAAGCAGAACAACTCAAAAATTACTTATTAAGTCCATTTCCCATTTTAACTTACTTGGGTTTCATATCCATCTGGTAACTTGACAACGAAATCATGCGCGTTTGCTGCTTTAGCTGCAGTTATCACGCTTTCCATGGATGCCCCTTCTTTTCCAAACAGTATATTATCTTTTATGGTTGTGGCAAAAAGAACAGGTTCTTGATTTACTAGGCCAAGTTGAGATCTCAACCATTTTAACTGAAGTCTGTTGATCTTGTGGCCATCTAAGCGTATTTCTCCCTCAACAGGGTCATAGAATCTCTCAAGCAATGCAATGATTGTGGACTTTCCGGAACCACTACCCCCTACAAGACCTATTCTCTTGCCTGCTGGAATCCTAAGATTGAGTCCTTGCAAGACTGGTGTATCTGGCCTAGATGGGTAACAAAAGTAAATGTCTTGAAATTCAATTTCTCCTCTCACATGTGACAAAGCTTTTCCCTTTTTGTCTTCAGAATCTATAGTTGGTAACCTATCAATCATTTCAAAGAGACGGGTGACAGCCGCTGTCGCCTCTGTGATAGCAGTCAAATGGGGAAGTGCACTTAAGACACTCCTGAAATTCATTGGTACGTAAAATATTAAAATGAGAACGTACTTAAATTTAATGTGCGAAAGAATTTAATTAAAACTCAAAAAGACCATTGATAAGACTAGAAAATAAATAATGACAAATTGACTCACAGGCCTCCCATGAGAACGTTGAAGCCGGCTACAAATACATGGCCACCCTGTTCTCCTTTCTCAGTGATCAAATAAGTTCCAACCCAAGCCTGAAAGCCCCAGCTGATATATATAACTCCTAGGCTTCCTAACATCAGCCCCTTTGCAAAACCTTGCTTTATTCCCAATTCCATAGTTTTCTCAAGTGCATTGCTAAATCTGTTCAGTGTTTGATTCTCCCCCACATATGAATAAACAGTTCTTATTGATGATATAGCTTGTTCTGCAATCCCACCAGCAACTCCATAAGATTCAATCATTTTCATTGCTAGATCTAACATGATCTTCCCAAATATAAGTGCTGGAACGATGAACATGACTGATAGTGGTATAGCTGCCAATGTAAGTCTCCATGATAGTACAAGTGCAAAGATGTGACAGAATAGAAAGGTTGACATGCCAGCGAGGAAGTTTGGTATCTGAGCGGAAAAGTAGATATAATTGGATAAAAGCATAAACATCAGACATTTACTTTCAGTTTTTGGCTTCCAATCAAAATATTCCAAAATCACCTTTTTGATTACAAATTCATGTGAAGTTCAATTTCAATATGTTTTCACTAAAAGTTACTTTAGACTGCGTTATCGCCAGAAAGGTAGAAACAAAGTGTTATCTTCTGTAACAAGCCAGTTGATTTTGGGAGCATATAATCCAAAGCGCTTTTGTTCTTAGAACTTTCCCTGCACTTATCGAAGAAATCTGGACACGTGATGTATATAGGACAAGATTCATGCAGAGTTCCTCAATTTTTTGCCATCAGGTTTCTCAAGAAACATATAACATACAGAGGAATTTTCTTTTTTTTTTTTTCATGACCCAGATATGTAACATTGAATTGAATTGTAGAAGGACTTTGCCTATCATGCTTTTATTGAAAATTTGATGGCAAACACCTAAAAACAAGTTTTTTCTTTGTGATTTTTATTAAATAAATTGGTTTCAAAGACATAATGTGATGGCACCTTTTCACTTAAAGCATCTTGAATTGAGTTGGCATCAACTGTAATGAGGGAGACAACTTGGTAAGTTGTTGAAGAACCTACTGCTTGAGCGTCAAAGAAACCAACTTCTTGTCGAAGTACTGATTTCAGGTATTCCATTCTTATTCTGGAAGTTTGTCTCTCTGCAGTTCTTACCCAACACATTCCCTCTGCAATAGCCAAATGTCAAATGGAACGAAGTATGGAAAGTTATTAGCTTTATTTTGCTCACATCAATCAAGCTGCATAATCTGATAAGTTTGTGTTTCAAGAGAAACATAACCTACCAATGAAAGCTGAAAGTCCAACTCCCATTGCTGCGTAGAAAAGCCTTGAAGCATACTGAAAAAACAAATTGAATAGCAATCTCAAAAACTGCTCTTACAATAAGTACGTTTTTTTTTTTTTCTTTTTTGGGAAGGGGATTACTTATGAAATGTGTGTGTATGGCAATGAATTATAACTGATATTTCATTAAGAAAGCCAACCTTATTTACATCATTCTTTGTCAAAATGATGTTTGGGCTTCCATATGCATTAATCACATCGCTGAGAATGAACATCATGAGGGGAACTTGAATCCCATCTCCAAAACTTGCCAACGTCCCAAACAGCATCAACAACTTGTCCACCTTATTTGCATATCGAAACATGCCTTGCTTTGCCATTATCCGCTCGCCCTCTTCACACAAAAACCTTCACCACCCTGAGTCTTATATGATATTGCCCAGTAAGATTTTCCTAGATCACCACAGTATCAGCAGGCAACACACGGCTTATACCCTTGTCTTTTTACCACGAGGTTGTGCTTTGGCTTGGCACACATGGATTTAGCCGCTGTCCTTCGTATTCCCTGGTAGGCTGCCGTACGTAAGTGTTTGCTTCTTAGAAAAGGTATCTCTACATGTATCTCGTTCATTGGCCAGCCATATACATGGGAATCCATTTGGCTTGTTGCAGCTCTTTGGTAACTGCAAAGAATTATTCTGGCGTTGTTATCATTGAGAATAATAGGTGGCCAATCAGGCCTGGTCAACTACTGTTAATGGCTAAATGTCATTGGAAAATGGCCAAGATTTGATGATTTCGAGGCTTGTTTATTGGAAGTGTCTTCGTGCCCTTGCTTTGTTTCGTAGGGCCAGAGAGGGCCCTACTATACGTTACTTTGGTTCACACTAATTCAGTATATATTGATTTGCCCACACGCATGGTTTTATCTGATATTGTTAGTTCATTAAATTAAAAAATGATGAAAATGAAATGTCACCTTCGCGAAGTCGGCTCCCGGGGTCTTTTGTATTACCGTTTTTATATATATGGAAGCATTCCATCCAAGTGTGTCAAGCTGCCGTCTAAATTATTTTCAGTTATAGTTAAACTAAGATGCAACAAAAGGGTGTGTTTGGTCAGGGGTTCTTGAAAAAAAAAAAAAAAGGAGAGAAAATCCCCTTATTTGATTCAACTCGGAGGAAATGCCTTTCATGCAAGGGGAAAAAGGAATAAAATGTATAAGTTTAATGCAAACTAAAATATATCAGAACATGTGTAAAAATTGACCAAAAAAAATTATATTTTTAAAAATATTTTAGGTAAAAAAATGAATATTAAAAACACGTCTCTCATTTCTCCTACCTAAAATTCACCATTTTAAATTTAATCACTCGTCATTTGACGTGATGGCGTAACTCTCTTTGGCCTTTTGTAAGCTCATTAGGATTCTGCTGCGTAAATGGAATAATCTATCTTGTGTCATGAATTTCAAATTATACACCTTCAATGAAATCTATATTAGAATACTCAAGAGGATTATCCCACTGATACAACGACAGTTATCTGATTTTTTTTTCTTTTTTGGTTACAAGGGGGAAGAAGTTAAAAAAAAAAAAACAGAAAGCAATTCTGCAAAGTCTCCAATTTCCTAAGCAAAGGGCGTTGTCTTACAACAGTCTCCTAATATCATCTCGAGGCATGTCCAGGTCGTGCAAACCTTTATCCAAAGAAAAAGCAAAGGCAGCCAAAAAAATCAGGATATCTATTCCTTTCACGATAAACATGAGCAACATCAACTTGCCAGTCTCTACCTAAAAGTGACAAAAACCGCTTTTCACTCAGCCACTAGGGGCATTAGGAAGCACCATCTCTCTTTGGATAATACATGAACAGCCATCATTACAGTCCACACCTATTTTAACATTACGATATCTCCAATCCCAAGCCATGTGCAGAAAAAAATGTCAATAGTTAATCTGATTTCAAAATTTTTATAATTCACAAGTGTCTGCAAAAAAAAAAAAAGGTTGCACAAAGTCTAATTAATGTGTCCGTTGGCATCCATGATAAAATTTAAAAAGTAATTTTACAGATAAAACATAATTTCAATAGTTCTAGACAAGAAATATACGTGTATACGTATGCATCTTATAAAAATAAAAATTATTTCGCTCAATGCAAAACAAGCACAAACAATTTGTTTCCTTCAGAACTTGTTGTGGCAATATTAAAAATTGTTTACTCCCTCCGTTAAAAAATATAAGATATTTTTAATCAAATTTTACATCTCAATAAAGTAATTACTTACGTTCAAACTAACTTTATCTTTTTATATTTATTTTTATTAAATATTTTACAATAAATGTCATTCATCAATAAGGATATTTTTGAAGAAAAAAAAAGCAATAGTTACACCTAACGATTAAAAATGTCTTACACTTTTTAACATTCAATTCTTTAAAAAATATCTTATATCTTTTCACAGAAAGAGTACCTGTTAAAGCAAAACCAATGAACAAAGATAGAAATCATAAAAAAGGTATGCTGTTATGCTTATTGGAACGAAATGTATATTCCTTTGGCCCAAAAGAACTATATAGAGGGTAGATTCCTGACTGCAGACATGGCATATTGTTGCCAAAAACTACAAACAGACTATCAAATGCCATTGACAACGTTGTTATTATCAACAAATGATTGAATATGAAAATGTCACTCTTTAAACAGGCAGCTCCTAACAGTGTTTGTCGTTTATTTATCCAAGTGTCTCTATCTGCAGTGTTTGTCGTTTATTTATCCAAGTGTCTCTATCTGCGTTATTTGAAGTGTTTTGAATCATGATAGTACTAACTATACTGCCGTCTCTGCTCTCTAACCAAAGTCATAATATAATCCAATCACTCTTGGATTCTACCATGCCTTGTTTATTTTTCATCTCAATGTTATTCTCCACATACTCTGTTCTTTAATTAATTCCTACCCTGGTGCCAAACAATCAACGAGCCGCATACTCTGTTCTTTGTGTTCTTTGTATTTATCACTGACTCTGTTCTTTGTGAAATTGTTCACAATGGAGCCGATAGATGCATATCCAAACAAATTTATCTATTTAGATTCTGAGATATAGTCAGAATTACAAATACTAGAATTCAGAGTCATCTATCTCTTATGAACATGAATCTCCTAGCTAGTTTCATACAAAGAAGTTAAGAGGGGCAAAACACAGAAAAAAACAGAGACGTGTGCCCATCCCATTTGATTTGTGGACATGCAAGTTTTATAAAGGTGACTGGGTGAGGCTCACTTGGTTGCTTTTATCTTTCTTTCAGCAGACTTCACTTCTTGAAGTATCTAATGGGATCCTAATCAATCCTTATCCTTCATTCCAAGCTAATAAATTGCTCCATTTAGTCCTTATTATATAGGCCTTCCACATGTTTATTTCCTTGATATAATATATTTTGTTTAAACAATAAAATTTTGAGTTAAATAGCAAAAATATCTTAAAAAATTTTCACAAGCTACACTTGATATCTTTAACTTTTATTCAAAGCAATGTTATCTCAAAATTTTAAAATATGGTACCCTCATCATTTAAAAATATAAAATATTTTTTGAAAAATTGAATGTTTAAAAATTTAAAATATTTTTAATCTTTTAAAATGTAATATATATATTTTTTTAAGATAATAATTTTATATTTATTATAAAATATTTATAAAAAGATAGAGTTAATTTTAAAGTAAATAACTATATTATTAAAAAATAAAATTTAATTAAAAATAATTTATATTTTTTAACAAAGGCATACGGCATTACCCCACTTCTGAGTAGATATATGTTGACCCTTAATCTTTGACCAATAAATGTACATGCGTCCTCCCTGAGTTGTTGTTCTTCCACAATCAAATTTACACGTGTTCCCTGACTTCTTCTCTCTCTTCTTCTTCTCTGACCCCATGGTCTCTCAATCTTTCTCATCTTCTTCCGGTTCATGAAGGACATAACTTGTGTCAGGTTTGTATCAAATTTTGCATATTCTCAACTTCACCCATGTCTGCCCAATCTTCTTCGAATGCGACAGTGATGCATCCCAACAAGAATCTATACACTTGACCTCCTACCTCAATCCAGCGGCAACCTTCATCTTTTGGAAGGCCAATCCCCTTCATCCTCTGCCTCACTTTTCTCACATCATCCCGCTTCCTCAGCGCAGCATACAAATTTGATAGCAATACAAATAGAAATTTAAATCTAGCAAATAGCTAGTTACAGAGCTGCCGGGCAATGTAATGGTGGGGGGCCAATGTCTGTACGCGACTCCGGTCAAGTTCACGTAGCACAGAGACGACCGGCGGGGATTACGCAAAAACGGGGTGGTACAAATACGTTTGGGTTGGCGTATGGGTCCGAGCTTCAGCGACCGAGGGAAGAAATATGCGTTTGGGATGATATCAGATGCTAGTCCGAGAGAGACTTGGACCAGCGTGGCTGAGAACGACGAACAAGCGTAGGAATGAATGGTTAAATGAACACAGGGCGGATCTTGCGTCGGGGCACAAGAATGCACGGACCTGACTTCACGGAGGTATATCAGTTTATGTTCTTGTTGCAGTCTTGCAGAAGAGGGTGAGAAACAGAAGGGGGGAGACAGCAGAGAGGGGGGGAGAGGGGGAGAAAGGGAATACGTTTGAATTTGACTGGGGATGTATATTTATTGTTTATATTTAACGGTGAGTCTAGATTAACTGCAAGGTAATGTTGCATTTTTTTTTTTTTTAAGTTTGTGAAGACTTGTTTTTTCCTTAGTTAACCGAAATTGTAACAAGGCTGCAAACTTTTTTGCAGGTAATGCTAAAAGGAAGATCAATCTGGTTGGCGTGATGATCTCACCTCTATTTATCTTAACTCATATGTTAAATCTTGATAAAGTTACAACTCTAAGTTGTTCAAAACAGGAATTGATTAATTAATTTGTTTCTTTGCCTTTTTTTCATTTTTATTTGTTTGACATGATTATTGTATTTTTGTGTTTGGTTTTATTTTTTTTTGGTGAGTTTTTTGTGTGTGTTAGGTTATATTTGTAGGTTTTTATTTTATTTTTTTTTTTGACTTCAACTATCATTGTATGTATTTTAATTTTTTTGTAATTAATAAAATAGGCTTTCTTTTTTGGCCAAAAAAAAAAAGAAGTTTGAAGTTGACATTGCTTTATAAAAAAATCTAAAATATCAAATATCTCTTGCAAAAAAAAAAATTATGACATTTTTATCTTTAATCCTAATTTTTGTCACTTAATATTCTTAACTGCCTATACAACTTTTTAACTAATTAAACAAACACCTCTATCCAATGACTTTTACTGAGAGTAATTTTGAAATTTTATAAGAAATAATTAGCTTTAACTATCTTCCTTGATTTAATTAAAATTATTAATTAATATGTGCTTATAAAAAGGATGGATGGGAGTAAGAAGGGGTAAAAATCTATAGCACATTCTTTATTAACTGATTAACTCCAACAAGCAGACAATTAGATGTTGAGAACAAGCATGATGCTTGCTTTTTCCTTAAACTCAGTCCAAGAAATGATTTTAAAAGA